TTGTTTGGGTCAGGGGCACCTTAGTCCTCAAAGTAACATTCTTGTTTTTCAATGCTCTACATAAATCTGTGCAGCAGATTAATCCAATGCAATGTGTCCTACCATCTCTTGACTGCTGCCTCCATGAGCATTGGTTGTGAAGCCAAGCAGGACAAAAGCCTTGACAATATCCATTTTCCCCATATGTCATGATGCTACCTATTGGTCCATGTGAGGATTTTTATTTTCTTTATTGTGTTGCGTTAATTCCACACTGGAGATTGCATGCCTTGATCTCCATCCACAAGTGCCTCAACTTCTCCCCACTTTCAGCAAGCAAGCTGTGCCATCTTCATATCAAATATTGTTAATACAACTTCCTCCGACCTGTGCGGCATTTGTCTTCACATAACCCACTTCTAGGATTGTTTTCTCAGCCTAAAGAATGACTGTTTATGGTGAGAGAGTTCAGCCCTGATGCACAGCTTTCCTGATCTTAAAGTATGCAGAATTCCTTTGTTCTGTTCCCATAAATGCCTCTTGATCCGTATACAGGTTCTGCATGAGCACGATGAAGTGTTCTGGAATTCCCATCCTTCTCAAGGCTATCCATATATTTTTAAATGATCTACTAAGTTGAATGGCTTGGCAGAGTGAATAAAACACAGGGAACACCTTCATGGTACCCTCTGCTTTCAGGCAAACTCTGTCATACATCAGCAATGATAAGCCTTGTTCCATGTCCTCTTCGGAAACTGGCTTGAACCTCTAGCAGCTCGATGATCTTCAGCAAAATTTTACCTGCATGTGATATTAATGCTATTGTTCTGTAATTTGAGCATTCTGTTGGCTCACTTTTTTGGGGGGAGGGTAATGGTTACAAATATGGATCTCATCCGGTCAGTTGGCCAACTAGCTAACTTGCATATTTCCTGGCATTGATGAGTGAATGCTTCTAGTGCTTCATCAGCTTCTCGAAACATTTCAATTGGTTGAATTCCTGGCCATCAATTCCTGGACCCTTGTTTTTGGCTAATGTTTTCAGTACAGCTTGAACTTCTTTCTTCAGTACCCTTAGTTCTTGCTCTTATGCTACTTCCTGAAATGGTGGAATGCCAACTAGTTCTTTTTTACAGTGACTCTGTGTGTTCTTTCCATCTTATTTGGATACTTCTGGTATTATTCAGTACTTTATACATAGACTCTTTTAATATTGAAACTCAAGGCTTGAATTTTTTCTTGAGTTCTTCCAGTTTAAGATAGGCTGAACGCGTTCTTCATTTTTGGTTTTCTAACTCTAGGTCTTTGCACATTTCATTCTAATATTTTAGTTTCTCATCTCAAGCTGCTCTTTGAAAGTTTCTGTTCAACTCTCTGACTTCACCCTTTCTTCCATTTGTTTTAGCTAGCTGTCCATGATTAAAAGCAAATTTCAGAGTTTCTTCTGACATCCACGTTGATATTTTCTATCTTTCCTGCCTCTTCAGGGAACTTTTGCATGATTCTTCCAGAATCACAGCATTACAAAGCCAGCCCAGTACAACCAAGTGACAGACAAGTGGTGGTCCCACCACACACAGTTTTAGAAAGTTGTCTATTCTAGATCCTGTGAAACTGATGGATTTGGGTTCTGATGCAATGACTAAAATGTTTGTCAAACACATTTGAGCTAAGAAGTTCTTGAATGGGCTGTAGTTCCAAAATTGTGTCAGGCTTTTGCTTAGTAGACCAACTTTATGAAGTACATTGTTTCATCTTTATAAGGCATTTAAGGCAAAATGAAATAATTCACCAAGAATCCATTTTTAAGTAGAGTTATTGAATGATAGCACCACCAAGAAAGCAATGATTGTGGCCAGCATCGTGCATATCATATCATGCACTATGGTGTGGGGGATACCATAGTACCAGAGACGTCATATACAGTTAACACTCTCTTCCCAGTAAAAGAACTAACCAGTTACTTTCCCAATATTCCAACTTAAAAGTCAATATGGAATCCACACCTCTTGCTATGTATTCAATCTATTTTCAACTCTATTTGAGGAAGAAACAAATCTCATAGTTTAATCCCTGTGGAGACTGAGCTGCCTGCATGTACATTCAGGACCATCTGGCCAAGTCCTGTCCAGGACAAGGTGATGAAAAAAAGGTATAGATCAGCGGTTCTCAAAGTACAGCCCTGGACTAGTTGATTCTGTATTTCCTGCGCAACTGTTGGAAATGAAAAATGTCAGGTTCTACCCCTTATCTATGAATTGGACACTCTGACGATGGTGCCCAGCCATCTGTGTGGACAAGTCCTCCCCGTGATTCTGATGTATGCTAAACTCTGAAAACCCCTGGTGTCACTCTCGTTCATTGCCATCAACCGATTCTGAGCCACAATGATGCCGTAGGACAGAGTAGAAGTGCCATGGTGAGTTTCTGCTATTGCAACTTTGCGTGGGAGTAGGAAGCCTCGTCTTTCTCCCAAGGAGACGCTGGTGGTTCCTATGTGCTGACCTTGAGATTCACAGCCAAATGTGTAACCATTGCATCACCTGGGCTCCTTAACCTCTGGTGTAAAGACACCTATTCTCAGAGCTCAACTATATCTGCTAGGCAAGCCAATTGGGCTGAATGTCCTTCACCTCCCAGAGCCAGAACATTCCCAGATGATGGCGACGAGGTGGTGGGCATAGAAGGATCAACATCTTGCTGCGTTGAGGGAAGCACCTACAGGTGCTGCATTGGGGGAAGCACCTACAGGTGGCCAGTCCTGCAACAGCTCTGGGGAAATGCAGATGATATTTGAATTTTCCATCTCCATTGCTTCCTTAGAAAAATTTTAGAACATTATGACTTAGATAAGCCCTTTCTCCTCTTAGCAGCCAGTGAACAAGGACAGGGCTGCATGAAACACTGTCATGTCCTCAGCTTTGGCGAGCTCAGCACAGTACATTTCAGAAGGGTGGTGGGAGGCCCACAGGCAATAGGCCAGGGTAAGAGGGAATAGGCATACAGAGACCAAGGCAGGCCCTTCCTTTTCCATAACCAGAAGGAATGTCTGAATGCTTGCCTTTGATAAACTACAGAAGTCATTGCTCTAACGAGGCCATTGAAGATCCTCTGTAACTTCTAGTTCTGGAACCAGGTGTGGGCCAGACTCAACATCCACAGAAAGTGTAGAGGCTTGGGGCCAGAGCATGGGAGTAGCAGGCACTACATGTATCTCCAAAGTCAGGTAAAAGAAGGAGAAGACACAAGAAGCCATGATGGCTTCCTTTACCAAGCAGTTATCCACGGGCTCACAGAAATACATATAGGTGCTGCACTCAGTGGGAAGTAAGTAGCTAAAGGCTGTTTACATTCCATAGGCTTCAGTCCTAACTCTATATCCTATAGCTGTGGCTTTCTGTCTTCTCTTCTCTGGTATATAGTAGGTACCCAAGAAATGCCTCTTGATTTCTTCCCCCTTTCTACTCAGTGGAAATAGCACAAGCTTGACAGTTCACGTTATGTGTGAATCAAAGTCCCACATTTGTTTTCTAACTATGACTTCAGGTAAGTTTCTGAACCTCCTTGAATCTCGATTTCTTCCCCTATATAATGGCGCTCATTCAACTTATCATCAAGAATTGAAAGGTAAAGTGTTTAACCCATGAGCACACTCAAAATATGCAGAGTTCTTTTCTTTGCCTCATTTCTACCATGTGCTTATGTAATTGGGAACGTCTTCGCTAAAGAGACATTGAAAAGCATTTTTAATGGGAAAATGTGATCATCACACTTCACCAAAGAATAATGATCCTGTTTCCATGGGACAAAGTGGAAAACTCCTCTGCAGAATCCAAGCCCTTACAAAAGAGAATACACATTGCCGCACATGTGCACACACATGCGCTACTTGTTTCTACTTATGCAAGCAATATCCCGAGCATTTAACTGGGAGGTGGAGCTGTAAATTATAAAACTGTATATATGAGAAAGGGCTCTGACCATATCCACAGCAAACAAATCTGTCTTGGAAGAAGTGCAGCCAGAAGACTCCTTAGAGGCAAGGATTATGAGACTTTGCCTCATATGCTTTGGCTTTCTTATCAGAGGAGACCAGCCCCTGGAGAAGGACACCATGCTTAGTAAAGTAGAGGAGCAGCTAGAGGGGAAGACCATCTACAAGATAGATTGATGCAATGGTGGCTGCAACAATGGGCTCAGACATTACAGCAATTGTGAGGATGGCATAGGACCATTATAGTACACAGGGTTGCTATGAGTTGGAATCAACTGGATGGTCTTTAAGAACAACAACAAAAACAACAACATATCCCAAGCCTGACCATGAGAACCTTGGAGAGGCCAGGGAGAGTCTGTCTTAAATGGCTCTCATCAAAGAAGTCCAGGCTCAAGTTACTCTGTAGTGTTCTTTTCTTATGCAGGGAACCCGACTTCTCAATATAGTCACTGGGAGACTGTTGTTGGCTACCACTGAGTTGATGTTGACTTACAGTATCCCAGTTGACACTGTGGAATCACCCCATAAGGTTATTTTGACAAATATCTTTTTATTTGTTTGTTTGTTTTAGATTTTTTTCTCTTGTGGATCAGCTGGGTGGGTCTGGTTAGCAGTCAAGTACTTAACCTTTGTGCCACCAGGGTTCCTTATTGAGAAGCTAGGTTGCAATGCAATATGCAGTGTCACGATGGAACCCATACAGCACTGTCTTCTCAATGGAATGGCTTCAGGTCTTGAAGTTGTTCTGACCTAGTCAGCCATTCCCCTGGAGTGTTGGGTCAATGGATGGAGTTTGGCCATTGGCATGATGCAGGACTGGCTCCCCTGACTTCTGGATTCTTGTGGTGACACAAAGATTCACGTTTGTGCTGAGAGTGTGGATGGTGTTTCTCCCTTCCTAGGGTTCATACCTGGCTCCAGGGCTCTACCCGCCACTCTTGGCAAGGCTCCATGTTACAGCTCATGCTCAGCGGGGGAGGAATTCCAGCCAGGAACTGGCAGTGAAATGGCCGCAGGCTCTGATGGTCTCGACTATCCACACATTGAATCTCTCGGATCTTGAAGCCTCCGCTGCAATTTCTGGAGCACTGTATGGAGAGCAAAAGCAAAGAGCATAGCTAAGTCCTCGGCATTCAGCCCTTCAATCCCTTGATTCATAGGATGTGATGGGTGGGAAGGGAAAAAGGGTGGCACCATCACAAAGCCTTGTAGGATCAGGGCCACATAGGTGAGCTCTGCTTGCCCTCAGGAGTCATAGAGAGGGAGTCAATCAGTTTCCCTATACCAGATTCTTGGTGGCAGAACATGTGTATAAAGGCTAATGCTAGAACTTGCAGACAAGTGCTAACTTGGAAGAAGGGGAGGGAGGTTAGGAAAAATGGAAGACATTGGGACATTTTCAAGAGTTAAAGGCAACAGGGGCAAACACTGTTAGATACGAAACCCTGCAATATTGAGAGCACCGTGACAGCCAACAGAACCTACAGAGCCATCTTGCAGGAAGTACAGTCTGAGTGCTCCTTCAAGCCTAGGATGGCCAGTACTTTGGACATACTGTTGGACTAGAGTGGTCCCTGAAGGAGGACATTTTGTTTGGTAAAGTATATAGGGACAGCAAGATGCAGTGACACCGTGGCTGCAACTTTGGGCTCAAACATACGAACAATTGTAAGGATGGTGCAGGACTGGAGGTATTTCATTCTGTTGTATATGGGGTCACTATGAGGCAGAACTGATTGGCTGGCACCTAACAACAATGAAAGGATAGTGGAATAGGCAAATGGTATAGAAGGAGGGGAAAGGGCCATTGTGTGTGTGTATGAGAGAGAGCTCCATGTTTTGCTGCTTAATGGTGGTGAATCTCCGTGTAACAAATCATTTGCCTTTTCAACATTCTATGTGTGTATCACCAAGTGACAGTAGTTGTGTTTATCATGCTGTGTTAGTCTGGGTGGACTAGAGAAACAAATCCATGGACACACATATGTGTATAAGGAAGAGATTTACATACAAGAGCAATTGAACATTGAGAACACATCCCAGCCCAGTCCAGATCAAGTCCATAAATCCAGTACTAGCCCATATGTCTGATACCAATCTATAAAGTCCTCTTCAGACTCACAAAACACATGCAATGACACTGAATGTAGAAGATTTCTACCAGTGGGTAGAAAGTCTTTGGATCGAGTGGCATGGTTACTCCAGCATCCAGGGCTGCATCAGGGTAGTTCCATATGTCTTCCTTACATTGATTTGTAATCTATACTGAAGGCTACGATCCTGATCTTCATCAATATGAGTTTCAATTCTTCCTCACTTTCAGAAAACAAGGTTGTGGTACCTGCATATATCAGGTTGTTACTAAGCCTTCCTCTAATCCTGATACCACACTCTTCCTCATGTAATCCAGCTTCTTTGGTGATTTGCTCAGCATACAGATGGAACAAGTATGATGAGAGCATGCAACCCTGACACACACCTTTCCTGATTTTAGACCATGCAGGATTCCCTTGTTCTGCTCCCACAATGGCCTCTTGACTCGTACACAATTTCTGAAGGGACACAATGAGTGTTCTGAAATTCCCATTCTTCTAAAGGTTATCCACAGTTTATGATGGTCCATACGGTTGAATGTCTTTGCATCGTTAATGAAACACAAGTAAACATCTTTCTGGTATTCTCTACTTTGAGCCAAGATCCATCTGACACCAGCCATGCTAACCCTTGTTCCACATCCTCTTCTGAACCCGACCTGAACTTCTGGTAGCTCCCTGTCAATGCACTCCTGCTACCATTGTTGGCTGATCTTAAGTCAAATTTTACTAATGTGCAATATCAATGATTGACATGAAGAGTGGGTAAACCCTGTCATCATGTCCAGGACCATCTGTCCTCTCCAGCTATCATTCCATTCCTCCATATGCCCATGGAATGCACTCAAACTGCTACACTAACCCTCCTTTCCCACATCCCTAGACCTAAGGGGTAAACCAGTAGGCAGAACAGGTAGTAGCACTGCTTTGCCTCTGCCAGCAATTGACCCAATTCCTTCAGATAAAGATGAATGTTGATGACCCAGCTTGCTGACAAATGGAAGTGGTAGTATTGCTATTTACTTTATAGTATTGCTTCTTGTTTATACTCTGATATTTTAGATTTTAGAGGAAGACCCACCCTCACACTTGGCTATGACTTGATTTGGAACTTGAGCTGCGGGTCTAGCTTGGTTAGATTTTTTTGCTTCTACTTTGCTACAATCAAGATTGTAACAATCCTTATATGGACTACAACTATAAAGAAGATCAAAATACTCCCAACTGGACCAATAGTTAACATCCTGATAAATGGAGAAAAGATTGAAGTTGCCAAGTACTTTGTCTTACTAGGATTCACAAGCTCATGGAAGCAGCAGGCAAGGAAATAAAAAGATGAGTTGCATTCGGTAAATCTTCTGCACAAGACCTCTTTGGAGTATTGAAGAGCAAGGGTGTTACTTTGAGGACTAAGGTGCTCCTGACCCAAGTGATGATATTCTCTGTTGTAACATATGCATGTGGAAGTTGGGCATTGAATAAAGAAGACCATAAAAGAATTGATACATTTGACTAATGGTGCTGGAGAGGAGTACTGAAAGTACCATGGACTGCTGACAGGACAAACTGATCTGTATTGAAGAAGTAAGGCCAGGGTGCTCCTTGGAGACAAGGATGGCAAAACTTGTCTGACACACTTTGGACACATATTCAGGAGAGACCAGTCCCTGGATAAGGACATCCTGTTTGGTAAAGTGGAGGGGCAGCAAAAAGATTGACACGGTGGCTACATCAATGGACTCAGGCATAAGAACAATTGTGAGGGCGGTGCAGGGCTGTGCAGTGTTTGATTCTGTCATGCATTGGGTCGCTATGGGTCGCAGCCGACTCACAGGCACCTAAAAACAACTTTGTATCCTGGTCTCTTCTGGTTCGTCCTGGCCAAACCTGCTTGTGGCTGTCCATACTCAAGTGAAACACAAGGGTACACATTGTAGGGTAGAAGCAGCTTCCTGTACTCCTCAATTCTTCCTCAGATTTTCCTTGGGCTAACATGCCCTCATGGATCCTATGTCTCAAAGGTTCCCTTCTCCATCCTGTGTATTACTAGCCACTGCACCCTGATAGCATATGGGTTAGGCATTGAATTGTGACCCACAAGGTCTGCAGTTCAAAACCACCAGCCGTTCCTTGGGATGGGGCTCTCTACTCCAGTAAAGAGCTACAGTCTCTGAGACTCAGAGGGGCTGTTCTACCCTGGTCTGTAATGCCACGATGAGGCCACATGCACTCGATGACAGTGAGTCTGGAGTTCTTCCTTGAAGCCTCAGCTTGCCTCCTCAGATAGAACTTCCTCAAATAAAGACCTGGTCTAAAGAGGGCAGGCTACCTCGGTATTTATCTGAACTCCTTCTCTGTTTCTATCACAGGAGTTTGGAATGTAGAATCACTTCTATTTCTTTGGGCTGATCTTATTACACTGTGACTGCCATAAAGGTAAACCCTACCTGCAGTGTTCACCTCAAGTACCTAGCACACGGTCAAGGGCGACAGAAATGCTCAGTGCATAGCTGTGGAATGAATTTGTAAATTCAGAGAGAAGAGGAGATGGGAGGGATCCCAAAGGGATGATGATATTATTGGCAGTGTTCACTGAAAAAATGCACCGCCAGGAATGAGCACCAGGTAAAGTATGCTTTTGCTTAGCTCAGCTCTCAATGTGGTGGAAGACCAGGCTTCCTTTTGGGCCAAGGTGAAGTTGACAATGTAGATTTGGAGTTGGAAAAAGAAAATTCCTCAAGACCTTGAACTAGCAGTAGGTCCCCAACTGCTGCATCCCCTTCTGCTGCTGCTTAGAAGATCTCACCAGGTTGCTTGACTGCAAGCAGTGCCTGGGTGGTGTAGGGGGTTAAGTGTTAGGCGACTACTAACCGAAAGGTTGGTAATTTGGTCTTACCAGAGATGCCTTTGAAGAAAGACTGGAAATCAAGGTCACCACCATGATAACCCTACTGTGTAACACGTGGGGTATCCACGAGTCAGAACTAACTCAACGGTAATTGTTGGTGCCCGACGTTCACAGAAAGAGGAGGCCCGCATGCCAGGAGAACAATGGCTCCAATACTCCTACAAATCAAGTGTGTTTAGCTTCTCATGAATAAGCAACACTTGCCAGCCAACCCCCACCCCCCCAAATAGATTGCAAACTTCAGTTTTCCAGCTGTGCAGTCAGCACAAGAAGAAAAAGTAACTGCCAATTAAAAATTATCCACAGACCATATAGAGCCTGCTAAGAATTTCCATACAAGACAGTCATCTGTCTCATGAAACAGATTTCAGGGAAATAGCACATGTTTAAAACAAGAGGACTCTTTATGAGGAAAAGGGAAATTTACATGACATTCATATAGCATAGGGCCTTATCTTCTTATTTTTCCCAGTTGTGATTATAATTTGCTGTTCCTAAATTCAATTGTCATGATCATCATTACCCTTTTGTCAAATAACACATTTGCATCCAATGGGAAATGAAATTCATTAACATGCGGATGTCAGTAGTAATGGGGGAAGATATGCACTAAATTTCTGACTTTTCTATTGCATTTCCCAAAGTACCATTGATTAAATTAGCCAGCAGGATGTGGCTGCATAGCTAATCATCCCACTCTGAATGCCGCTGTTTTGCCTTTGGGGGTTGGGGGGATGCCAGTTACCACACTCACTTTCTGAGTGGCCTGGTCAGGGTCCTTATGTTCCAGGGGCTTCCCTAACCTGGAGCCTGGGGACAGAATGGGGACAGGAGCCAGCTAGTGAGCAAGAACTGGGCTAATTGTTGTCGAGTTACTGCTTCAGTTTGTTTAACTGATGTGATTTGTGAACAAAGCTGAGTTAGAATGAAAACTATCCACACTTAGAGGAGCCACTGGCAGCAATAACATGAACTCATAGCCTTTTCCTCCTGGTTTGTTTTGATCTGTGAAGTTAAACTGCTACGTTTTCCATTTAGGGTCTGTACAGAGCATTCAGATGCACAAAGTGCATGTTGGATCATGAGA